TTCCAGACACTGGGTTGAACATTGTATTAACCTTTCTTCCCATGCCAAATCCTATAGAAATAGGGGAAAGATACATGTTTAAAGAAAGAGTGAATTTAAAATCATGCTGGAAAACAATAAAAAGTAGGAGTGGAAGAGAAAGATAGAGGAACTAAAGAAAGTGATGAGAAACAGAAAAACATTAGCAGAGGTAAACAACAGACAATTCACGCAAGGGGAACTGTAAGTGACTAATAAACACTTTTATTAGCAATAAAAGAAATATAAAATAAAGCAACAATGAGAAAAGAGTCTATTCTATTGGCTCTTGCTTATGGTGCCTTGTTTCCTCCGTGTTGCGATTTTTGCCTGTGAGCTTATGTTCTTTGGAATTCTATCTTTGGCAACCCTCTAAGGTCTGGATTTATGATTATTCCTTCCACACAGGAATGTTATTTGCTTCTGCCAGGTTCATTGTTATATGATCAACCCAAGGCCACTTTAAAATATGTTATTGATAGAAGGTTTTTAGGGTAAATAAATAGTAAAAATTCATCCTCTACACTCATACAAGGGATGGTTTCTGGTTAGGAATTCTCAGAGGATATTTTTCTGCCTCTTTCCAGTGCCAACATAGAAAAAGGAAAATTTCCTTGATACAGCATTGGCTTTTGCTTATTAATTTTTAACATATTTACCCTTAAACAGAAGGTGTGTCCTCTAGCTCTATATGGAAATCTCTCAGCAGATTGCACACCCTGAATAGGCCCTGGGCTTGTCCAAACTTTGTACATCCATCAGAATAGAACCCAAGGTCATCAGGTTTTAGCAGGTACCCTCAGGAAGAAAATCAGCTTTGGTATTACTTGTCTCTCCAAGTTCCTCCTCTTGGGTTGCATTTTTTTTTTTTTTGGTCAACTCAGTTGATACATTTCAAAAGATATTTTTTAATATTTTCACTGAAATATTTAGCTGTTTTTCAGTATTCATGTATGTAATCTGCCATACTGCAAGAAATAAAAGTCTGTTTTTATTATTCTGTTTTTATTTTGGTTAACCATCTTTTAAAAGGCATATAGTATATGATTATTACCCATAAAGAACTTATAATCAATTAAGGATATGTATGACTGAAAAAAATTAAGCATATTATAAGGAGGAGAAAAAAATGGCAAAATGACACGGTAGAATGTACTATGTATAAGAGGCATTAAATATGGATAATTAAAATTTCCATTTGATTTTAACATTCAATGTCTATTGAGTTAAATCCTGAATAAAGTAAATTTGAGATTTTTGCAAAGGAAAGTTAAGTAAAATAGCACATGATAGGAGCAAGGATTACCTGTGTGAAGAAATAATGAAAAATGAGATTGGTAAAAGAAAATTTGAAGTAGCAGACAAGTAAAGCATCTCGTAGGCTTGAAAGGAAAGCTTTAATTGAATTCATGTAAAAGACAATAGAGAATTCTTAATGGGTTCTGGAGCAGGGGAGGATGATAGAAGCAATGTTAGAAAAAGATTATTTTAGTCACTGCCTGAGTTGAAGAAGAGTCAACAAAGGATGCACAGAAAAAACGGAAAGTGTAGATTCCAAACATAGATTCCAAAACATTCATGGGAAAATAAACAATGTTAAGTAAAAAACCGATTCAAAGAGGTAGAAGAGGAAGAGTTAGACCGGCAGAGTGGCACTCACAGGAGCTCTACTGACAGATGGGAGTGTCTATTTATTTGAAAAAGCTGGTTCAGAAACTAGGTTTTCATGTAATAAGCTTCATACAGTTACAGGGCATCCAAGAAGACAGTAAGCTTTCTCGGTTCCCACTTTTCTCATCCCTGAAGAAAAGGGACCCTCTGCTCCTTTGACTGTACAGTGTCTCCCTAGATAATCACATCCACCATGATTGGCTCAACTACTTCTCTATACACATGTTCCTCAGTCTGCATGTTCAGCCAAGATCACCTATTAATGTTAAGCTCCATACTTTCATGCCCAACTGCTTCTTAGACTTCTCTTTTAGGAACAAGCATTAAAGAAGTACCTTAATCTCTGAATGTCTAATAAGAGAAATTTCCTTTTTTTCCCTACACTTACTCCTATTCCTATAACTCATCTCTCCATAAATCACACCATCATTTACATGGCAGAAAACTAGAAATTATCCTTAATACTTCCTTATTCCCTACCAATAATATCCAATTAATAATCACGAACTGATGATATTAACTCCTTAACATCTCTTTGATTTGTCCTCTCCTCTATCTCCACCATCACTGCCTTACTTGAAAGGCTCCCATCACGTCTCAATGGGACTACTGCGATTGTCAGCTAACTGGACTCTTGCCCTGGGTCCACGCCCCTTCCTCAGTCAACACACCACACTGCCAACAGTGTGACCTTTCCAAAACATAAGTCTGATCACATCACTTCCAGTATGCTTAAGAGTCCTTACTAGCTTCACTACTGACTTATGCTCATGATTCTCAAGTGAAAATATGGAGACTCTTGGAAAGTGTGGCGCTTTAGTCAAAAACAATTGCTGTAATCAACCAGTGTAACTGATAGGAACAGGCCCCCTGAGAGTGTTTAGGGAGGGAGGGAAATTACCGACCTGTAGGAAATGGCCAACCTACGGGTCAGCCAAGGAATCCCACACTCTGGGTCCTATTCTCTTGTCCGGGCTCATCTCTCCCAGTCCGTGTACCACTTCTTCCTCCCCAGCACAGACTCTGCACCCATTTGGATTCTATCTGCAGTTCCCCAAAGCTGTTCGTGTGTTTTGTTTTAGTATCAGGGCTCTCTGTCTAGGATTCTCTTCTCCCACTTTTCTCCCTCACAAATGTACACTTATTTTTTGATCCTTGCATTAAATATAAATGTAATAAAATGTAATTTTTCTCATAAAGCCTTTTCAAGTCTCCACTATGGAAGTGACAGTTCCCTGCCATATATGTTTCTATCATCACACCAATGGTTCTGCTTTGCCTTTTATAGACCTGTCTTCCCCTCAGGAAATGTAGCTTCCTTAAAAAGTGCAGGGTCTGTACTTATCACAGTTCAAATCTGCAGCCCCCAGTTCAGTACCTGGCATATAGCAGTGCTCAGAGAAGGTTTACTCAATGACTGATGGGATATATAAGGATTCCACTAGTACTTATAGTCTCTGGGTAAAGATACTCCAAAAACATCTGCATGGAAGAGGGAAGTAGGAAAAACTGGAGATACAGACTTGAACTTCAACCTCAAATAAGTGGTTATTCCCATAACATGAGAGTTTAGGAGTAAGGATTATTAAGGTAATAATTACATGCAGTCAATACAATTTGTTATACTCTTACAGATCATTTTAAATTTTCTTGTCCCTTTAAAAAATACTAGAATGACACGATCAGTTCTATAAGGCCTAACAAAAAGTACATACACAGTAAATATTATTAATTTGGAATAAATTGTTCTGGTCTGATCTTTTGGGATAAAGACTTAAGGCTCTATGTAAAATTTGTTTCTAAAATCAAAGACCTCCGGAATCCTCACTGATACTCAACTACATCCATACTGAGGAAAAATTATGACTCAAATTTATTAGTTTTTGGGAATTTCAGATTATCCAAATATATATGTAACGAGAGTCATCGAATTTTATACATTTAAATCGTGCTATTGAAATTCCAAGTTAAAGCTCAGAGAATATGCATTTCGCTGACAAAAATTTTAGGTCTTCATAATAGAGTCAGAACCTTAATAACCAGGATTTCACTTTAGTGACATTCAAGATTTTACACTATATTTTTAACACATCAGACACAGCTACAATTATATTTATGTTAAGAGTTGCAGTTTGTCAAGTGGCTTATTAGATTGTTCTAAATGTATGTCTGGGTAAATTCTGGTTTATTAAACAATTATAAGTTGTCAGTCATTCTAAGTGGATTTACTTGGTGAGTTGTATAATAAATGCCATACTAATCGGTTAGAGACTAAGAAGTTAGTCACCCTTAAGCAGGCTTATTTCCACTTCAAATTGACAGAACAGGCTAGTGGTAAAAAGAAAACAGATACCTTAGAGGCAGAGAGTGGGTGTTAAGGAAGAACAGGGTTAAGGAAGTTCTGAAATTATACCTCAGGGTAGAAAGAAAGAAAGAGAGGAGGAAATCTAGTGAACTAAGTCTAGTGAAAGTTGTTTTTTGAGTGAAGAGGCACAAGGAGCCTTTGTAATGCCAGGCTCCCCTGGGCCCATCCAGGCTTGATTAGAGACACAACTGCTATATCTGGCCTTTCATACATGTATAGAAAAGTGACATGATGACTCCTTAGAAATTGCTTCAGTGACCCTTGGAGAATGTTCTGGAAAGTGTAGTGTCCCTGGGGGAATGGCAGCCACTTGGAAAGTCACATATAGTTCACGGGGTGGGTGTGGGGGTCCCCGTTGTTGGTAATCCAACGCTGTTGGTATAAGAGATGATTTCAGGGATCCACTAATTAAATCTCTTGTTTTGAATGGTTATATATATCTTAAGTATATTAGGAAAAGCTAGAGCTAGTACATTAAACCTATGATTTTGTGGATGCTATTACTAGTGAGAAGCTGATTTTTGAAAAATAGTGAATGGACTTAGAATTTATTTAAAGTAAAATATTAAGTACATAAGGATATGAGTGATATGGAGGTCGGCAACCATATTCAAGGCATTTTGTGAATTACTGAAGTTACAGAAACAGCAGTATAAATTTTTAAAGAGGCAACTATTCTGTCACGAGATCTGTGACAATGCATTTTTTTTTTTGGTCTGTAACTCAGAAATTGGGTAAAACGAATCTAAATCCAGCAAACAAATAGCCTGGAAGTCTGGAACATGCTGAGGTTGCTTTGATCTCAGAGTATAGGTGAATGAAATGGAAATTCAGAAATAGCAAAAAGATTTCAAGAGATTGTGCTTGATGATGAGGCTAAGAAATAGATGCTGCTGATGAAACCCATTTAGTACAAAATATAAGTTAAAAACTCAAGAATACTTACTTTCCTTTTTTAATAGTGTTCCTGCCAAGCAGCGGATCAAGAACCGGATCTATCGTTTCCTCAAGATTTTCAATTAAGATGACATCACCAAAGGCCAAAGCAGTTTCAATGGTATTCAAAAACCTTAAGATTCAGTCAGAATTGAGGTAATAACATGTAAATAAGCACAGGGAAAATGGTCAAAATTATATGATTAAGTTATATTTCATGTAGATATTTCGAATGGCACAAAATAACTTAGTGAAAACTATTTTATAATATAGCATTCTCCTTTAACTAGGTTGCACAGAAATTAAAGACCAGATTGTGAGATAAATTCTAGTCATATTTTCCAAGTAAAATTCAATAGTTTAAATTAATAGTTCCATGTGTAAATCAGTTGCTTTTACAACCATGATTGAAATAAGTATAACTGACCCAAATTTCATAAATTCAAATTCATTTGATAAGTCCTTTTTAAATGAAAATTCAAATTATATTAATTGCTCAGTGTTTTTACCAAACTTTCGGTTTTTAAATCTTTAAGTTCAGTCATGTAAAATGATGAACTATCATTTTATTTCAGTCCCACTCTCCAAAATATTCTCTCCCCACCAAAAATAATTTTCTCCAAGTATTCCGATAAGCGAGGACTAAATTTATCTATACAACCACAAAAATTCCTTATTTCGCTTTACATGTGAAAAAAATATGGAAGGGTCAAGTGAAATACTAGTAGGTCTAAAATAATTTATTCAGCATTAACTGAGCACCAACTACATATAAGACACCTTTCTACTTATTAGGCAGTATTGTTATAAGGACTTAGTGACAGAAAGTCTCAGAGTAGATATGGTTCTCAAAGTGATATGTAAAACCTAAGAAATTATATTATCCTCAGGCATCCAATATTGGAACTTGTGGCCATGTTAAGATCCTACTACAGGCAGAGTATATACTTGGGAATACAACTGTAAACAGCCTGCAGGTGTAGTTGGCAATTATCGTGTCACCACATACCAAACACTCCGGAGAAAGAACATAATATGTCCTATTTCCATTCTTGGCCTTAGGGAATTTACATATTTTTCCTCTCAGATACAATGTTTGTTCTAACTTTCAATCTGGTTTCTTCTTCAGATAATTGGATGCTGCCCAACATAAACGCCCTTTCAACAGACACTTCATAGGAAACATGAGCAGGCAGATAAACAAACAGCACCAAATTATAATATTTCAAAAGTGGCAGAGAAGTCTAACAAATGTCAAGCCTTTATAAAAATCAGACCCACTTCATAGCGGCTAAACAGAAAGCCGATTCCTTCAGATTTCACGTACCCTTTCTGGCCTAAATGTGTGACTTTCAGGTCAGGTCCATACTTATTCTTGATCCACTTAATTCCCTGTTGCTGGGGATCTATCACCAAGGGCCAGCGCTCACAGTGCATTAGGATGGTGGCGTTCTCGGTGGACATTCTGTCACTGGGCAGTCCTTCGTTGTTCCAGGAAGCAATCGTAGCATCATCCGTCAACATGGAAATCAAGTCCAGGCCTTTGGTTATTGGAATGGAAACCTTTAAAATCAGAGTAGAATGCAATGAACTGCCAAGGTGGCAGAGAAGGAAGAGTTGGCATGCCAGAAAAAGAAACAAGATAGCAAAGCCAAGAAGAAGGGACTCCATGGGAACACATGCAAATTCACTGTGGCCTCTCAGAAGCCAAATACAACGCTCACTGTGAAATACAATTTGACCCGATAAACCTGGTATTTACATCTCAGAATTCTGTTAACTCTGGGATTAAACATCTGGCTTATTAACTACATCTACCTGGTTTTAACTGAGAGGGACTTTGCCTTGTACTTATATCTATAGCTATTCCAACAAGAGGAGAGTAATTTAGATACCAGGAAGAATGGCAGGACATCAGAAATTTACTTGCCCACGGAGGGATCATCCCACATAAGCAATGCTGAAAGGCAGTACCTTGCTTAGGCACTTCCTATTTTTCTGCAGGCAAGCACTACAAAGAGATGACTTCTCTTTCTGGGATGGGTTAATGAAATGTGTTCAGTCTGCTGGAACTCCATCAGCTCCTCAGTGGCCGTAGGAACTTAGAATGCAACCTGTACTCTGAGAGGAAATGCGCTCTGCCTTGACTGCATTGTGAAGTGAGGAGGTGTCTCATTTAAGACGGGGGGAGACGGAAGAGATAGAGAGAGAAAGAAACCTATTTTAAATAAGGATCATTCTTTATCAAAATAGACTGACAACAAAAAATAAACTAGATTGTGGTAAAAAATTTATTAAGGAATTGATTTGGTCACTCTTTTGGTCATCAAGTCTCAAACATTTATTGAGTGCCTGCTGCATACTGTCTGGAAACAACAAAATGGAAAGAATATTCCATGGCTTGGTAGGGTGGCTCAGAGAGGCACTAAGAACCCTACCTGCAGTAGGTAGGGGAGGCTGTATCAGCAGTGAGAGTTTGGTTTATTGGTTGGTCACAAAGCTTCAGCAAACAAAATGCCGAGGGCATTCCCCCATTAAGGCTGGGATGCAATTCGATATCAATACAGGATAAGTGGCACAATATTCCTATTGCCCCTGACTGCCATGTTCTCTTAAAAATGAATCAAACCCTGTCCCCTGCTCATATGAACAAGTTTTGGTAGCTGACTCGATACACAGTTTCCTTAGAGACACAAGCAATTTGGTATCTTTTAGAATAACCATCCTTCCATTAGCGAAGGATATGCCACTTTAATTTCCTATCTTCTACTTAATACAAACAGCTTGAAACAATTGGAGACTCTGAATAACTTTGATTTCTGAAGGTAAAAGGACTAACCAAAGGGGCACCTATAGACCTTGATTCCCAATTCAACAGTTGGAATTGTTTGAGTACATGCTCTGTGCAGAGTAGAATGCCAGGGATCAAAGAGAATAAATAACAACCTCCCCTTTTTTTTCTGGTCAGTTTAATCTAGTAGGGGAAATAAAAGCCCATTTCAACATAAATGAGGTAACTCACATTAAGGAATATCATAAATATCGTGAGTACTCTGTGACTCAAATTTTTAGAAAACAACTTTTAGGATTTTTTAAAAAATAGTATTATGAAATAGCTAGTTACATGACTACATACAGAAATTTTTTCATCAAAATAGTTTTTGATAGTTATAATACAGGCATCATATTGACAATAAATTTTAACCTAAGGGGAGGCTGAAGAAAATAAACTTCATTTCATATATGGTCATGCGCTGCATAACATTTCAGTCAACAATGAACTTCGGATACAACCATGGTCCCAAAAGATTATAATGGAGTTGAAAAATTCCTAATGCCTAGTGATGCTGTAGCTGTCATAATGTTGTAGCACGATTATTTAATTTTTAAAATAAATTCAGTTAGCATAAGTGTACGGCATTTATAAAGTCTACTAGAGTGTACAGTAATGTCCTAGGCCTTCTGCCTTCACCCACACTCACTCCCTGACTCACCCAGAGCAACTTCCAGCCCAGCAAGCTCCATTCATGGTAAGTGCCCTTTACAGGTGTGCCATGTTTTATCTCTTATAACCGTACGCTGTACTTTTTCTATGTTTAGATATGTTCAGATACATAAATACTACCGTATTACAGTTGCCTACAGTATTCAGGACAGTAACATGCTGTGCAGATGTGTAGCCTCGGAGCAACAGGCCATGCCACATAGCCTGGGTGTGCAGTAGGCTCTACCATCCAGGTTGGTGTAAGCATATTCTACGATGTTCACATAACGACAAAATCGCCTAATGACACATTTCTCAGAACATATCCCCATGGTTAAGTGACATATACCAGTATATCTTCTTATTAACGTTTCTTTCCAGAATTTCTTGAAGGAGTCTGTAGCAAGGAAACTAACTTTGGAAACCAAGTGCAAAGAGGGAGCCCTTTAAGTCCAAAGGCTGCTTCTAAAGTCCACTCGTTGCAAGGCTCCATGCAATCGCTTGATCAATGAAGCGATTTGTTTGTGAGTCACGATGCTACTAAGAGGCGGAGCAGGGTAAAAAAAGGAGGCTCCCCTTTTGGAAAACAAACATTTACTAGAGAGAGAAGAGAAGGCTGGGGGCACATGCCATGAGCCAAAGTGAAATTAGTCCTAACACCAAATGCATATCAGAGTCTTCTAAAAACTGAACTGGCACATTTCTTTAAAAAAAAAAATAAAGGAAATTTTCTGTGCAGGTAACGTTCCCAGTTTCTCCTAATGTTATGGTAACCTAGTGGCTAATATTTATGTAAGGCTTTATATGTTCACAACATTTATTCGTATATATTCACTCTTTTCATTTTCTCATTTAAACAAGTGATCTGCAAGGTAGATCTCTCTATTGTATTGCTTAGGTCACTGAGGCTTAGAAAGGTTAACGCACTAATAACTCCATGTATTTGCTCTGTCTACAGACTGCTAGGTCAGAGTAACGAGCGGAGTACAAAGGCTGCCTTGAACTTGCCTATGGCTCTGTCTGCCCAGCAGACAACAACTTTGAGTGGAAACACCTTTGGATAACAGAGTAATCTGAACTCTCAAGGCCACATGTGCCATAGCCCCGTCCTTTTCAGTGACCACCCTCTGTGCTACTGTTTCCTCCCTGACTCAACCCCTAAACTCGTGCCCCTATGGCTGCACTTTCTGACAACCCTTCTCACATACCCTTTAGCATCCTAGTCCTGTTTGGACCAAATTCCCTCACTCTCTACCTGCTTACCTTAACCCAAACCAGGCTCTCCCCCTAGGGCAGTGGCTTTCAACCCCAGGCTGCATATTAGAACCACATGGGAGCTTGAAACAGCTGCCAATAGGTACATTACCCTCCCCTGCCCCACCCACGGTTCAGCTTCAACTGGCATCGATGCATTTTAAAAGTTCTCTCTCATGTGATTTGAACATGATGCTGGGGTGCAAGAACCACTGTCCCAGGGTCTTACTTCCCTTGAGGACTTTCTCAAGTGGGGACAGTGTATTTTCTCAATACTCCATTACTGAAAAATGGATGTGGGAGTCGCCACTCTTCTTTCTTCCCTTCAAGTCATCCCAAACCTGTTCCTCCATCCCTAGGTACCACCTTAGAGATGCACGAGGCCAGCTGTACAATCCTCTATGCGTCGCCTCATCTTACGAGCGATGTAGCTGCCAGTCCTTCTCGTTTTTCCAAGTTTTGCTTTCAATCCTTGACAACCTCAGTGCCCCCGTGGATGACGAACCCACTCTCTGGCCTTGACACCCTTCATGTCAAAGTGCTATATTTCCTTTCCATTCTATTATATTAATAGTACCTCCTTCCTTTGAAGAGAAATACCCCAGACCTTGCAATAATCTGAAATTATTTCATTGCTGAAATTCAAAACTCCAGTTCCCAATCCTTTGATAATGCTTATCTATATCTCTCACATCTTTAAACATAATACTTATTCAAACAATATTAAGAAGCCCTAGGCCTTTACCCTACCATATTTTTTTATTGTGGTAAAATAAACATAAAATTTGCCATTTTAAGCACCGTTAAGTGTACAGTTCAAGTGACATTAAGTATAT